ACTATGTACCAGGTACTTGTCCATGCACATTACTGTTCTACTTGTGATCTCTATCATCTTCATTATGAGTCTATTAGATTGTGTATTTCTTTTTATTTATTTATTTATAGAGAATTTTATTTATTTATTTATTTATATTTTTAAAATTTTAACTTCTCAGTATACACTGTAGTTGATTTTTGTGTCACTTTACCCTTTCCTCTTTCCCCCCTCCCTCTCTCCTCTCTCCCCCCTGACTACATCATAGATTGTGAATTTCTTAAGAGCAGAGTCAGTCTTCATCGTAATAAGTGTTCAGTAAATGTCTACTGCCTGAATAAATGAAAGAGAGAAGAGAGTTAATGAAAGACAGTAAAGAAGGTTAGGTCCAGTTACATTTAAGTTCAAATGAAAACAAAGAACAAGGATTGTTCTTTAAATTGTATAATGTTATTGCATTAAAATAAATTTTAAATGTTTAATAATCATCATAATCTCACCGCCTTAACACATATACAGTTTTCATATTTTCATGTTTGTTTTTTATTTTTCTCTATGTACATACATAGTTTACACATTTGTAATTTTAATGTAATTTCCACTCTGCCTTTCCACTTATCATTAATGACAAACAGTTTTGCATGTTTTTTAAATTATCATTACCTTCATGACTTTCTGTAATTTAGTAATTTCTCTTTTCCTATTTTTGAAACCTCTGTTGGGTTTCTGTGGTCACTAGCAGTAAACCCCCCGAACAACCTGTCAGGTGTTTTTGTGCTTCTATAAACAGCAAGGTTAGGGAGCCCCTGGGAAAGTACATCTCATTCTGGAGGAAGAGAGGGTGCCACATCAGGGAGTGCACAGTCAATCCTAAAAGTGCTCAGGAGAGAAGAAAGGTATGCCCGGCAAGCTGCTCTGAACTGAGAAGGATGTGCACAGGGTGATGTTTGCTCTATTCCGCAGTTTGATTAACAAACATGCTTCTACCTCTTGGCCCTCACATAGTAGCCTGCCTGGCTAACATCTGCTAAACTTTTACTTTTCTTTCTATTGTGCATAAAGCTTTTGCTTTCAATATGTTGCTATTGAGTAGGGAAAAACAAGAGAATACCAGACTTTAATGATCTGCCTGTTTTCTCTTCAGCCTGTTTATAGAACTTAGCTCTTGTGCCACTTGTTATTGTCAAGTACAAGATGAGAACAGAGAAGTATTACTGCACCTGACACAGGATGCTGCCCCTTGAAGAAATTAGCAGGAAACAGGAGAAGTTTATAGAAGCTTTTTCTCTGCTATTCTCATCTTGGAAACAAGTGAAAGTACATTTGCAAAATTATATTGAAAATAAATGGGAAAAATGTGTTTTACTTTATAGCCAACTCTTCTGAAATGGAGCTAGTTTTAAATAAAGTTATGTGCGTATTAAATGAAGTTATGGAAACGTCCGTTGTGACCAAAAGCTGATTAATATGCTGTGAGCTGTGAACCCAGGATTGAAAATGGGAGATCAAACTAAAGAATGGAAAGGGGGAAATGCTCTGGGTGCCTTGCTTAAGAGATTGGACTCTCAAATCTTGTAGACAAGCCATATTTTGTAAACCAGAGAATCTATAGTTAGGTTATTTTATGTAAATTTCCCCTCTCTTATTTGCTATCACTTATCAAATTATGTTTTAATAGTCCAGGAATACTTTGGGCTAACACATACATGCTTGGACCAAAGTTTAATAGGGAGCAATAGCATCCCCTGGAAGCTAACGTGTTGGTGTTAGGTGTAATTAGAGAGAGTTCCTAAAAGAAAGATGAATCTGGTGATAGGAACACCCAAAAATAAAAGGCCAAATTTTGGGGGGGGGCCCCTCCCCAACGGAAGCTCTCCTGCTAGCGTCAATCCTAAATATCATTATTTCAACTTTATTTTATTACAAAAGGCAGTCTATCCTTTAAGAAGTATACCCAAAAGAATTCTTTTGAAAATATTTGAAGTAATGTGAGAAAACTAAATCAAGTAGATCTTAAATAATAACATTATAAGCTCTAGGAACTAAAAAAATTAAAGAGTGTGAGTAAAAGAAGAATGGAGTTATTGCATATACCAGGTCTCATCCACCTTGATGTTTGTATGATAGACTTAATCATTCATTCATTCTTCCACTGAACATTTACTGAGTGACTATTAAATGACAGGTATTATAGTCAGCAAGTTGTACACTGTTGTTATCTATGTTAGTTTTTAAACATTTCAAAATGTGTTTGGATAAGCAAGGGCTAAGTGTGTGGCACAAATACTTTAAGGCGTATGAGTGGGCTCCCTACCTTATCTGTGCTCTGCCAGAGTGTATGTGCATCCCTGAAAACCTCACTTGGGAGGAGAGGAGGTGGATGATACAACCCACATTCTTCCTATACTACACCATCTTGTCTGAAATTTAGTCACCGTAATCATTGTTTACTATAAATTTCCACAAGTTAAATACCAGGCAATTACAGCATATGGTATTTTGGCCCTAATGAACCTTGCAAATACCTGAAATACAGAAAATATTTATTTTCATGGCAGATCTATCCCTATTATTTATGGGACCAGAAGTAAGAGTACAAATGGAGGCCGGGTACCATGTGCAACTATTGTGTATACTATGCTAAATTGTCAAGTGTTGTAACCACAAATTGGAACACTAAGAGGAGAAAAATCTATGCTTGACACTATCAGGAAACCATACTTTGTTATGTGAGACTCTACTGCATTCAAACTGAGAGGAAGGATTTGACAAGTTAACTAATTTACTTTGTCTTCTCTCTTACCTAAGCACTGCTGCTGCTCAAATTCTGCCTGAACTCCAAAACAGTTTATCTCTGATATGGGCAGCCATGCTATCCACAAATTTTCCCTGCATTTGGAGTCTACCTTTTGTTTTGAGGACATAGGGCAAAAGATATGACGTTTCCCTGGGGCCTGAATAGTGTTGCTAATGGGAGAGGAAATTTACGGTTATGGGCCAGTGTTGAGCATCAGATCATGAGTGGTACAGGTACCCATATATTTTTAAATAAATGTGTGTGTATGTGTGTGATATGTAAGGTCCTTTGAAGCATGGGTAGGATAGGGGCCTCTCTTGCCAAGGTCTAAGTGGGTAATGCTTAGTGAACTTAGGAATTTAATGCCAAGCTCATTTGCAGGGTTATCCAGATAGGTGAGTTTTTAAAGAATTTCTTCAGCATCAAGAACAATCAAGTTAGACTGATGGCATATTAGTCTGTTTTCTGTTGCTTATAACAGGATACTGGAAACTAGGTAATTTATAAGAAAATGAAATTTATTTCCTACAGTTTTGGGGGCTAGGAAGTCCAAGGCCAATGGGAGCACCTAGTGAGGGCCTTCTTCTTGGTGGAGACTCTGTACAGAGTTCATAACGATGCAGGCAATCACATGGCAAGGGCTCAGCAAGAGAGTTTTTTTTCACATGCTTTCTTCCTCTCCTTATAAAGCCCCAGTCTACTCCCTGATAACTCATTAAACCACTAATCCATTAATCCATTCATGGATTCATAAGGACAAAGTCCTCAAGATCCAATCACCTCCAAGGGCCTCAACTTTCAAATACCATAGTCTGATTTTCCACCTTGGGGGGGACATTCAAACCATAGTAGAGGGCTTAGAGAACTATAGCATATTTCTATGCTTGACTTCCCCCAAAACTAGGTGTAAATGACAGTGTTATGAAGACTTTTTAAAGAAATGAAATGGTTAACATATACAAAAATAGAATACAGTGAACCACCATGTTTCCACCACCAGCTCCAACAATTACCAACTCATGGCCAACCTTGTTTCATCTATACTCCAACTGATCCACCCCCCCCCAATTATTTTTGAGCAAATCCTAGATGTCTTATCATTACAAATACACTTCTAAAAGATATTCTTCCAAAAATATAACGACATGCCATTGTTCAATTATTCCCTACTCAACAAACACTTCACCGTTTCATCCATGTGAAAGGCACTAAAGACTTCCCATGAAGAAAGAGTTATTTTATAGTGTTCATTATGTTTGAAATCATAATGTCATATGTGTATGTATAGTTAAAGCTACACTAAATCTATTTGTAGGGCTTGGCGTCAAGAACTGCAGATTTTGGACCTAGCTGACCTGGTGATGGTGAACTTGAGACCTCTGCAAGAGTTTAATTTTTTTTCTAACCTTTGGAAAGCAAGGCGTGGGAAGGGGATTTAGTTTCTCTGTCAGGCCTAGGCGTGTTAAAACTTGTTCCTTCCTCCAAAATGTACAAGTTGCTAAGAGAACCATTGGCTTTATGAACAAGCACTGAAAGAGACTGTTAAAAAAAAAACTGCCTGGGTCGGGGAAATTCGTTCGTTTCGGGTCACGTTCCTGCTGTCGGCTGGCCGTCCGTCAGTCCGTGCGGGCTGGTTTGCTCCGAGCGTGCTGAAGGTCAGCGGCTCGGCCAGACTCGGTGCGTGGATTTCTCGCAGTTCCAGGGCTCTCGGGCGACACTGGGCGTTTCCTCCCTTTCCGGCGTCGGGAAGTTTTGTTTGATTCTTACTTCCCTGTCAAGGAAAGGCAACTGGTTGGCCAAAGGTTTCTCGGAGTCTCCTCCGGGTGGCTAGCGGCCAAGTTTCCTCCATCCCTGCTTGCTCAGACTTTGGTCTGTTCGAGACCTTCGAAGGCCGGGGACGCGAGTCCTGTGAGGAAGCGAGTAGACAGCGACGCTGGTCGGCCTCTCGCTTCCTTCCGTCCGTGGGCCAGTGCCTGTCGCACCGCAAACGGTGTGGACAATCCCCCAACGACTTCTCAGGGACCCGACTCACCACCAACCTAGCCGCGCCTGGGGTAGGGAGAGGGCGACCAAAACCCGGGAAAAAGGGCTCGGGGCGCATGCGCGCACCGAGGCCGTGGCGTCTAAGTGTTCGCCCCGCGGCGGCAGCCGCTAGGTGGCGCATGCGCCCTGGAGGGTAAGGGCCGGTCTCTGGGAAGAAGGCGGTGGCGGCGGCGGAAGGCGGGGGCACCGTGGGGGCCGTGTCCGTGTTTACACAGAGGCGGGCGGGCGCGGACGCGGACCCCGGTGTGACTGCGGCAGGATGGTCATGGCGCATTTCGTCGAGAATTTTTGGGTAAGCGAAGGATGTTGGAAATGCTGTGGGTTTCGGAGTCCGAGGCTTTCGGCTCAGGACCTCGGCCTGCGTGCGTTTCGTGAGGCGGCGGCTGAGGTAGCGACTCCTCCGGCAGGGCGAGAGTCCTCTGACCGTCGCTTGCGGGGTCCTGCCA